GAAGCCGCCACCTTAGGTGTATGTGACTGGTGCCTTAGCCACTTGAGCCACAGGCGCCGAGCCAATATATATATATTTCAATTATAAACTAGCTATCATAAAGGATATACTGAAGATTTTTATTCCTTTGATAATTTCCTATTCTCTAATGCCTTAAAAATTATCCTGTGGCGTTCATAACCTAACAGTTTATCTTTCTTTAGTTAATGTATTTTAAAATGTTCATTTCTTCACCTAATGGTTCAGGATAAATTCCCCAAATTGACCCAAAAGAGTAATGCATCTGTGTACATCACATGTATCCATTATATACATCTCCAGAATAACTGTTCACTATAAATATATGGAATATGAATTTTCAAAATGCTGTGTTTGAGAAGTCCTCCAGAACTGATTTTTCTGTCCATGTTTAACTTACTAATTTGTTTGTAAAGTAGCTCTATGGTTTGAAAACAGCTTAGGTCACATTTCTTTGTTGTTTTTGAGTTCCTTGTTATTTTTCTTTTTCTCTCTAACTGTGGATGAGAAGAGAGGAATGACTGGAGACAGGAAATCTCTGCAAGAAGATCAAGTAGTACTAGTATTACTGGAAACTTCTTTCCTGTCTGCTTGGCTCTGCTTAATTGTAAAGTAGGGTCTTAGAATAAGTATCACATTATTTTGGAAGAGAAAAGTTTAGATGAGTTCTTCTTAGTCTATTTTGGAACTCATTAGATGGAATATTTTAAACATATTCTACATTGTCGTCCAATTTATTCCTTCACAGTTCTAGATTGTATCGTCAGTATATGAACATGCAAATAGAATTTCTTGCATACCCTCTCACTCATATGCTAATATATTCATTTACTCAAACGTGATATGTATTACGTAAACTATATACAGATACTAAGCGATAAAGATAAGTTGCAACCACTTCTCCTTGGGAACAGAGTGAAGTATAAACAAATAAAATTAAAAGTTATATATCGTCCAGTTACAAACACTCACAGTAGGTAGGTAGAAGTACATGGATGGTTATTGATGTGATATTTAGTGATGTTTAGTGTTAAATTAGTGGGAGAGGGGGGCTTTACCAGCACAGTAACCACTCAGTGTTAGTAAGAATGAGAACAGTTTTAATATTACCTAAAAATCATACTTACTTTATACTTGTAATGACACTTTTTGAGTACTATACAAATGACATAGAGCCATTTATAAAAAGCTGATATTTCTTTAGAGTTTGACTTTATTTGGTTTTGTTCTCATAGATGTTTTCTCCCAGATGTCAGATTCCAATGGCTTAATGATATTTAGCAAGTTTGACCAGTTTCTGAAGGAAGTTCTGAAGCTCCCAACAGCTGTCTTTGAAGGGCCATCTTTTGGTTACACAGAGCACTCAGTCCGCACCTGTTTTCCACAGCAGGTAAGGACAGTTTTATAGAATTTAGGACTAGAAGAGCTCATCTATCCTTCCACCTCCAGCAGATTTCATCAGGTTGCTTCCAGTGTAGGATGTGAGGCCTTGAGTAGGGGAGGAAAGGAAGCTTTAAAAGTGTGTGTGTGTGGGGGGGGTGATGGAGAAAAGGGGGGATGAAAAATTCACCTGACAACGTTTTTGTGGGTGAGAGGGGATCTTTTCTAAAAGGAAAATAACATTTGAAATATTTAAAAGGAAAGTATTTAAAAGTGTTTACATTATGGCTACCGGATGTATATCACTTTTCAAAATGGCTTCTTGAAACTGTGAAATACAGGAATTTTGATATAAACTCCATGGCCATACTGGATCATTGATTCCTGAATACTGGAGACAAGGAATGCTGTGTAGCTCTCAACTGCCAGCATAGAATCCCGCAAGGGCACACTACCATTTTCATATTAAAGAAAGATGGGTTGGATTTCCTTCTGTGGTCTTGACTTGGGGGATAGTATAGTGTATCATGAGATCTGTGCCTCTGAGAACTGAGAGCAGAGTACACACTGAATGTAGCATCCATTTGTTAAGATGGAGATTATATAAAAGGAGCTTAATGTTAAACTTAGAAAGTTCTGGAAAGTGGAGAATTAGGAAAAAACTTTTTTAGTTAAAACTGATGGGTAAAAAATTAATGTAAACAGGATATTTGACATAGTCTCAAAGTATCTCCCCATCAGGTATTTATTAATTATAAAAGGAATATAGTAACTTTACAGTAGAAAAACCTATTAGATATCGCTTCACCCCTGATGGGATAAACTGATGTCATGTGCCTCCTGATAGGGTGTGTTGAGAAGTACACAGTATCACTTCTCTGGGACGCCTGCTAAAAAAGCACCACCTGAATCTAATCTTGAGGAAACATCAGACACACATTTTTGAATATAACTGGTCTTTGTGCTTCAGAAATGTTAATCTCACGACAGATAAAAGGCTGAGGAAATGTTCTAGATTAAAGTAGTTTAAAAAGTCATGAAAACAGAATGCAACTCATGATGCAGGATTTTTGTTTGTTATAAAGGACATTATTGGGACAGTTGGAAATTTATGAATATAGTTTATAGACAGTAGCATTGTCAATGAATATTATTTCCTAATATTTATATTTATATATATTAATAAGTTATGAAGGGCATGTTCTGGTTTTAAAGAGATTGAAGCTGAAGTATTTAAGGGCAAAGGAATATCCATTCTGCAGTGTTAACACTTGAGGAATCTGGGTTAAGGGAAAATGGGAATCTCCTTATAATCTCTCTGAAGTCAGAAATTATTTAAAAATAAAAAGTTAAAATATAAAAGGAATAGGCGGCACCCATAGCTCAGTGGTTAGGCCTCTGGCCACATACAGCTACGCTGGTGGGTTCAAATCCGGCCCAGGCCAGCTAAAACAATGACAACTGCAACCAAAAATAGCTGGGTGTTATGGCAGGCTATTTGGGAGGCTGAGATGAGAGAATCGCTGAAGTCAAAGAGTTTGAGGTTGCTGTGAGCTGTGATGCCATGGCACTCTACCGAGGGCGACATAGTGAGACTCTGTCTCAAAAACCTTTAATTTGTTACATATGTGTGTGTGTGTGTGTGTGTGTGAGAGAGAGAGAGAGAGAGACATATTTGTGTGTGTGTGTATATATATATGGAACAAATTAAGGGTTTGAGAACTAAAAGGACATTGTAAACTAGATTCTGTTGACGTGATCCTTTGATTCACAAAAGAACCAACACACACACACACACACACACACACATCCATTTAAAGTTAAGAATTTATGTTTATCTGAATTCTGGTTTTCAAACAATATTTACAGTTTGTTTAAAATATTAGAGGTCATTCAACTTTAACTGTGAAGGTGGCACTTATAGTAACAGAGAATTACTTTTAACTTCTGAGAAAATGTTTTTCCCAAATTTGTGCACACTCTGGCTTATTGGTTTTCTGCAAATTTGCCTCTGCATACCATTTTTTCTCTTAGGATAAATGGTAATCAATAATCAGCTTTTCTCATATTAAACACATCTATCCGCTTCAGTTTATTCTAATGAAACATAGTTTGGATTTTCCTTGAATATGCATTTTCAAGTGATATTAGGCTGTCCAAACATATTCTGGTACAAGGATGTCCTGCAGGTATTCATATGCCCTTAGGGATATAGGTGAGGATGAGTATGACAGAGGCCCTACAGACAGCTCTCCAGTGGTTTGCATTTGGAGCTTGTCTCGTTGCAGCTGCTCTGGAGGACGCTCACCTCCCAGAGTGGTGCACGCAATGCTCTGGGGTGCTCCTGTGTGTGATGGACATGTGGCTTTTCACGCCAGATGCTTCCTGGAGGTCAGGCTATACATAGTGATCAAATGTGGCAGAAGGGGGAAGGAAATTTATACAAAAAATATCAATGAAGAACATTGACAAATGGATGGCAATTATTTGTGGTATTAAACCTAAAGTAATCTTTGATTTAATTGCAGTATATTATGACAATCTCTGGTTAGAATAGCAGTTTGAAATGTTGAAGAAATTTTAAAAATTGCAGTTTTTAATTCCAAGAGTGCCATCTAGGATTCTGCAGATTACCTCATGACTTACATGATTGTGAGGCCTTCATACTCATAGTCTTATTGTTGTTTTTTACCTGGTTCAGATTCCTGTTTAAAAAAAAAAACAATCTTCATTTTGTTATGCAGATATATGATATATATGTTATGCAGACATATTTGATATATGTCAAATTTAGAAAGTCAGAGAAGTCTGTCTCAGTCTGGAGAAAACTTGAGTGCATGAAAAAAAAAAAAAGCCTTAGAAGAAATAGAAACTGTTGATAGAAACTACTGCCAAGAAAAGAGACAGTTTGGACAAAGTTTCATGCAGCAAGATTTAAATTCAATGTGTTTTGGGTTTCTTTTTGAAAATGGGTTTTCCCCATCCTGTGTTTTTCTACAGGATGTGTTCCCTTTATGTGAATCGGCTCATATGTCATCAAAGAGAAAGAAGGATGCCAACATAAGTTAGAGATTGTGTCGTTGGTTGATGTGCAGTCTTCTCCAGCACACTGACGTTCTGGGCTCAGCATGGTTACTGAGAAAGTCTGAGCATTTTAAGAAAGAAGCTGAAAATCCTACAGTCCCTTTCTTTAGTGAAAGCAGCTGGTTAGAGGGTCCAGGAGCTGCCGTGATGGCAAAACTGGGTGTGAACAGCAAAGCTGCAAAGCGTTTCTCCTCCTCCTTGCTCCAGTAATTGACTGCTGGGATTAGCTTTCCCTTGGGTCCGATCTTTAGTTTTGATAAAACGATCTATCTTGAAAGTTCTATGCTCTTATGAAGAAGGAAAAAGTGGCTGAGGATTTAAGGCTGAAATGTGTCACCTGGCAGTGGCTCTTGGTGGGCATGTTGTTATTGTTTCATTTGTTGTCTATCTACAAAGCTGCGTAGGTTTTCAGTGGTTGTCTCAACCGATTTTGTAAGGCCACAGTTTTGTGCTCTGCTTAGCTTCTCAGTAGTGTATGTGTTGCATTATAGCAGAAGTACTTTTTGTAAGTGACATAAAGGGAATTATATATTGGCGTATTTTAATATAGTTTAAATTCTTTTTTAAAACATACTCGTGCCTGAAAACCTAACCCAAAGTAAGGTCTGTAGAATTATGCTGTGTAGTAGTTTTTAAAACACACACAAAATAAAAGCATTTATAAATTAATTCAGTAGAACCCATCTATTAGAATAGCTAATGTTCAGTCACTGATACCAAGTGTTGGTGAAGATTTGGAACGTCTAGAACTCTCAAACCAAACCACCTCGAAAGAAGCCTTGTGGATTCTTGTAAACCTAAACAGATACCTACCCATGACCTACCAATTCTACCCCTAGGTTGGTCCCAAAGAAAGTGAAAAGATCTTTACAAGAATACTCTTACCAGCTTTATTCACAGCAGCCCCAAACTGGAAGCATTCTGGGTGTCCATCATAATAAAATAGTGGAATAAAAGGGTGGCGCCTGTGGTTCAAAAGGGAAGGGCACCGGCCCCATATGCCGGAGGTGGCGGGTTCAAACCCAGCCCCAGCCAAAAAAAAAAAAAAAAAAAAAGTGGAATAAAGTTAATTTGAGAAATAATATGTCCAGAATTTTTTTAGATAATGGAGATTAGAGAGAGTAAAAGTGTAGATGAAACAAAGTTTGTCTACATATTAAGACTTATGTATAAGTCTGGATAGATAGATATTATACTATTCTCTCTGCTTTGGTATATTTTTAAGAATTTTTAGTAATAGAAAATTCTAATTGTAAGTTTATAATTGTGATTATTGTCTGAACATGGTTTGATGTTATAGCACCTTGATGAGCAAGCCAGATTTATTAAGATTCTTCACTGTTTATAAACTAAGTAGCTGGGACTATAGGCACCTGCCACAGTGTCCCTCTTACTGAAAAGAAGCAGTAAATATATTTAAATTTCTCCTCAGTTTTCCCAACTTCCGACTTTTGGGAAGTACAATATTTCTTCTTAGAGGGACAGTTGCTATTTGTTTTATTATTTATTTCTTAGGTCTTCTTACTGACTTTAGTTTGAAGAATTTGACCCACCTGAGGAAAGTTTTGATTTGATGCCTGTCCTTATGAGGGGGATCCCTGAACAAACAAAGGGTGAGCGAGAGGGAGGAGAAGAGAGTGAGGTAGGAAAGTAGGTGCGTTTTTTTAGTTGGTATAGGCAGGAGATACTGTTGATGACACGTCACTGGACACTGTGCTACCCTTGTCCTGATTCACAGAGGACGTGGGAAATGGGTAGAAATGGGATTATGTTGTTGCTGGCCGATTTGCCAGATAGCAAGAATATTTCATGTCTGGAGGTATTCTCTGATTATACTTTGACAAATATCCTCTCTAGCTAAATGCCGAAATGGCTTTTCTTCCACTTTGAAGTGAGACATTTTCTTTATATTCTGACTTTGTTTTT